AGTGTTTATATAAAAAAAAGCTGACAACATTTTCCACGTTATTGCGCAAGGAGATCGACCGCGCCTGAACAGGCTATTTGCAGGAAGTGACTGTAGCCGCCATTATATTTGTTCAAACTGCATAGCAGGAAAGCTAACTTTCATTTTTTTTAAGTGTCTATTGTGCCAACTGAGGTAAGCTCGAACACATTAGGGACGAGAGCTTTCCAGATGTTTTGGAACAGCATGCTAAAATACAGCAGTTACTTCAGTGTTCAAGGTAGTACTTCTGCATTACGTTCTAAAACGAATCGAGACATTTAAACAACGTCGCCTGAATGAAAATCGTGAGTCTAGTGGTTGGGCCGGGTGCATTTCAATAATTCATTAATTGAAACAAGAAGAATGGTCCCTCGTTGTTCCAGTGCTTTGTTCCTTTGGAGCTTTCCCGTCGGTGCTGATTTTACGAAATGTCATCGAAAAATGTTCAGTATTCTGGATATTAACTATTCAAATATTTCATTATTTTCAAGTTATCTCACACGCCTACTTAATATTTCGATTAATCAGGTTCTTGTTGGTACATTTTTAGCGAAAATGCAAAATTTAAAATGCAGAGAGTATACCCGAAAAATTTAACGTGCGAATGTGTTCTGCAAATACATTACAATAACAATATAATGTCTGGGGCTTTACGTCCCAAAACCATGACAAAGTTATGAGAGACGCCGTGGTGGAGGGCTTCGGTAGTTTCGATTAGCTGGGGCTCTTAAACGTGCGCCTAAATTTTACTTGCACGCGCTTTTAGGGTTTTGCCCACATAAACATGAGACCGCTGTGGCCGGGTTCAAGACGGCGACTTTCTGGTGAGCAGCCGAGAATTGTGACCACTGTTCCACCAAAACTGTTCAAAAATATTTTAGAGTTACTTTATGAGCACAGTGGGGCAGAGTTTTTTTTTTAGAAGACGCATCCTAGCTAGAGACGCGTCGCGTTGTGATTGCAAAGAAAGATAAATATTAACTATAATCTACATAGGATTAGTAGCACTTTATACTCTATATATACTCTTCCTGAGTTCCGGCTATGGCGATTTGTCCAATAAATTGGAAATCAAATACTCCATCACTACAAAGATCTCGGCATGTTTTCTTCCTCAAAAACCAGTTGTCCAATATTTTGGACATCTACTAGTGCCCTCTATAAAGTATTGTCGAAATTGCACCAGGAGATCCCGAAACAAAGAAGAAAACATGGTGGTGTTCAACAGAGCAACGGTCTAGAAGTTTAACGGCGAAAATTAAGGTCCACTTTTTTTGTAGTTTTTTTTAATATTTGTTAAATTTTGAATAACAACTTGCAGCTATTCCAGAATATGTCACAATTTTCTTCAGTAACCTTGCTTTGTGTTGCTTCAGGCCTACTACTTAACGCTTTAATGGAGTTTCAGCGTCCAAATAATTGGACATCACGCCAAATCAAAACCACAGTCATAACGGAAATAATAAGCTTCACTTTTTATTTTCATCATCTACACACCCAGTTGTGAAATTTTGAGGAAATTCTGTGGACTAAAATCCAACCCGGAAGTCCGGAGGATATATGAAAACACCAAACAGAACTGTCGTAGTGTTTACATTCAGGAAAATGACAATGCCACTTATATAATGTTCTACTTAATATCTCATTTGGTATGATTTCATGCAAGGTGAAAGCTTCAGTGCAAACCAAGACGGGTCAAAAATAGGGGAGACGAGCACTCTTTTGTATTCTTTGTGGTCCGTTTTGGTTGGCGCTGTTGTTTCCAGCTGAAATGCAATGTACCAACTAGGCCCAACTGAAGCTATCTTGATTTCATCTGAATCATTTAGTTCTCATAAGTACATTTCGTCATGCGGCACCGTTGAAGTTCTCTATTGCCGTGATTGGGGAAGTTAAAAATTTTCATTTTTATGACAAAAATTGTTATGACACATCTTGTCATTTGAGAACTGTTGATTTGCTTTCGATTTAGGTATAAAGCTAATTTTATTTGGAGCACCCCGTGCTGTAAATGGCGTCTCGATCAGTGGACCAAAACGACGAATTTTATGACGTTTGTATATTGTTCTTCTAAAGGTTAGACACTTCTGTGGTCTGAAAATATTCTTAACGCAAAATACACCTTTCGTAATCCAAGTATTCATTACTAAGATATTCATAAATGTCGTATATTGGAATAGAAAAAAATGCATACATTAAATATTTTGGCAGAATTTATGGCGGCGAATACGACAGAAAATCGCAGTAACGTTATTCAGCTTCAAAAACCTTACACAAACACCTTTTCTTAATATGTAAACCAAATATAGCATCGAAAAAAAAAGATATACAATATTTTCAAAATATTTTCTTAGACCACCAGGACGACATTTTGGAAAGTTCCACGTGTCCAATTTTTTGCCTTCGAAATATTCTATAGCAATACATTCTATCAGTCCACCGTTTGGCATGAAATGAACACCCTGTGAATGAGTAACGAAAAAACTCTCATATGACGTTTTGATAACATAAAGAATTAGGGAGAGAGCGGGGGCACGACACCCAAGATTTGATAATAATCTCTGTTATACGTCGGTTAATCCTATAGTGCGTTCACAAACAAGCTGGCCAAATTTCAAGTATTTGAGCACAAAATTTACAATTGAGAATTCCGGTAAAGATGCGAGCGGCATGAGTCGGGAAGCGCTGGCGCAATCGTGAGTCGTTACGAAACAGGCTGCTTGGCAGCCTCCCCTCATTTTCCTGTTTGTGGAGTAAATGAGTCAACTGAACATTACCTCATTTATTGTAATAGATTCTCTACCTTACGTAAAAACGATTTATGTGCCGTTTGCCACCTTCTCGGAATAGATTTAAATGCTCAAAATGTGCTTTCTTTCTGGACGAGCTACGACATGATCTTTGACGCATTGCAGGAGTTCGTTAAAAGTTCGAAGAGGTTTAAGTGTTGAAATCATTCTTCGGCAGATTTTGAAATTTCCAAATTCACATTAAATCGAATACGACGCTTTATTGCATTGCACTACAGATTATTTACAATTAAACCACCAAATCGTCTTGTTGCATTTTTAATTCTCGTAAATAGATTAAATTTAACAAGTTATTAGGGAAGAAATTCATGAAAACTATCCGGTTCTTGGCCAATCCCCCACGTGGGTATGCGCCACATCGTCAAGGATCTTGACTTGACTTGCTGTGCGAGCGTGCTCCCGACAATTTATTGAGAAAGCACTCATGACTTGGCTGTCGAAGTAGCGCCGATCCGACAAATACACAGATCTCGAGCGTAGCAACGGACGTCTGAGCGTTCATTCTGCCTCCTCTACATTACACAGCGAACGCTTTTGTTCCGTGGTCAGCTGAGTATGCGATCGAGCTATTTTCAGCTTGACAATGAAATTGAACGATTCGCCGACCTTAGGCAAAAGACGACGGTATTTGCTCAATGCATGAAAAAAGGACGAAAAAAGTCACAGCTTTGCCGCAAAGGCGAAGCAATGAACGCGATAGCAACAAATTGGAAGGTCACGCGAAGAATGGGAAGTAGATCGAAACGTGCCCTGCGTTTCTCACGCACAAATGACGCAGGAAACGTATTCACAGGTACAGATGTAACGCGAACAAGTTATGACAAACGGTACAGAACCTGCAATACGTGCATAGCCACTGGATACCTAACTGTGTCTCAAGAAGCTTTCTTGAGGACCACGTATACTCGTGCGTATTTTATCAAGTACAGTTCACGACTGTGGCAGGGATGATTGCACAAAATCAGTTTCACCGAAAAGGTGAAGCAATGATAGTACAGCGACAAGTTGCAGTGTTATACGAAGTGAGGCTGGCAGTCAACTCATTCAGATCCGATCTCACGTATCTCTACAAAACACTCTTGGCACCGGTTTTTTTTTTTTTTTTCGCGTTGAGAGCGCAGTCCGTAGAAGCTCCCACCTGCTGTGGGGGCTTAAGGCGCGCTGGTCGTTGCCTTGATGGCGCGGAAACCATAAGCGCCTACCCCCCACCCCCCTGTTCGCTCACGAGATAAACACATCTAACAGACAATAATGCCAAGGAAGGTATAGGGGAAGTTATTAGGCCAATTGTAATGTAATGAGCAGAAAGAAAAGTGAGTGAAAAGATAACTTGCCGCGGGCAGGATCCGAACCTGCGACCTTCGAATATATATATATATATATATATATATATATATATATATATATATATATATATATATATATATATATATATATATATATATATATATATATATATATATATATATATATACGTAAAAAAACTCGTGGAGCACGCCTGGCGCCCACAAGCCAAACTTATCGGGGCTGCTCCATGCACTGGGCTCCATGCTCGTTCTCCATGTGGTGGTCAGAATTCCCGCATGCTACAGCTTCATTTTTTTTTGGCTGGACTTCAAGATGCTCACGTGACGCCACCATTTAGTCTTTTTTCCACCTCCCAGCCCCATGCAGCCCATGATGCCACTACACTCTAATGCCACGCATGCCATGGCAATATGGTGGTCACCGGCGGTGGGTGGGGTTGATGGCTGAAGAGTTCTTGGGCTTATATTGTACTAATATTTATTTTAAAATTCATGTTACAGTCAGGTATATGTACGCACACGATAGAACCTCTACTTTTATTTTTCGATGAAAAGCACAAACTGTTGGGCGACCATGTATGTCGTGGTCCATTCTTTGTGTCAATGCGGTAATGCGGGGTAGTTGGTTGTGATCACTGGCATTCATTTCGGTAGCGCAAAAAATAACAATGACGCAGCCACAAATTTGGGCATGCAGACAGGTCAAGCTAGCGCCCGTCTTCTCTACGTACTCGCTCTTGTGTCTGCGCCATTTTTCGCGCTACCGAAATGAGTGCATTCATTGAGACCTCGAGAGCGTATCATCCAACACGGCAGTTACTGCGAGGTGTATGCAAACCAAGCACCTATTCCACGCAGCGTGATGGACGACGCAGCGTCGCCGTGCCCCGTCCCGAGTAGCAAGCTCTCGGCGGGCAGCGAGTACGCCACGCTGACTCCGTTGGCACCGATGTCGTACACCGCGGTTCCTCAAACGCATCAGCACGTCGAGCAGTCGGCCGCATTGTACCCGCATCACCAGCAGCCGATGGCGGCGACTGTGGCAGTGTTCCCGACTTTCTTCTGCGGTGGCGCCGTCCCGGAGATGACATCAACGACATCGTCGCTCGAGTTGCAGGACCTGCCGCCCGCCGTGACCGGCGTACCGTCGCCCGACTTCTCGGTCAACTCCGACTCGGACGACTCTTCGTCGGACAAGGTACGGCACCCAAACGTCTGAGAACGTCCGACACAGAAGGTCCGTTCGATTCACCTGCACCGGTCGGAACCGGTTCACGGTTGTGCACGTGTGCACGCGAAGTTCAGAAATTGTGCAGCGTGAGTTCAGCGGTGCAGGCAGAGCACGACACCCGAAACAAATGACGATGTGCCGACAAGGTGTTGGCCTTATTTATTTTCAGTTAACTTACACCGTTCATCAGACACTGACCTATGGCGAAACGCACATGCGGACAGTTTATGAGGCGCAAACATCTTGAAAATACACAGCGCGTTTGTAGAGGCAGGTACGACGCCTAAGCCACCTACGTCTAAGTGCTGCGTCGTCTGCTCAGCTGCACGCGCGGCTGCACCAAGCCGGCACCGTCAGCGAAGGAGGTGCAGGAAAATCGTGAACCGGTGCTGCACCTCTTCTGCACCTTTCGAAACGAATGGCAGGGTTCAGCGGTCGTCCATGCTGCACCGCTGAAACGAATGGCAAGGTGCCGCACCTCGTGAACTGGTTCACGTGGTGCAGGCGAATCGAACGGACCTAGAGTGAAGCTCGAGCATTAGGCATAAGAGCAGTTGGTGCACGCGGAACTCTTGAGGGTCACCGGGCAAGGTTCTCGGAGGCCGTACTGGGGAGAAATTGCGTAGACGGCCACTTTGTGCCAAACTCACGTCCCTTGGTGGTGCTAAATGGAATGTCCGATTGAGAACGCACATCACTGTTTTAGGTACGTGGGCGCGTTTGTATGTGCACGTAACACACACGCAAGCGAAATAGAAAACTTTGAGGGGGGTCTGAACACCTTCCCCTTTGGTTACGCCCCTGGCCCGTAGGTGAACAAGCTGTAGCGGAGAAGGCTCGTAAGTGCGCGGCCGAGACGACGGGTCCAGGGCGGTGAAGCCTTAATTCAGTGGCCAGCGCCAAGTGCCCCTTCAGTTACGGCCTCTGCGGATGAGCGGAATCCACAATGGCGGCAAATACAATATTGCGGGAAGAGAAAGCGGAAACAAGCTATTAGTTCGCGTCCCCTTGTCCAATGGCACCCAAGTTTCCTCGGCAATCAAGCAACGGGGTATTCTTTCCTAGGCCTGATGGTGGCCTTTGCTGAAAAGAGGTCGAAGCGCGCGTCAGCCCTGACGGGAATGTTAGACAGGGCCGCAGCTGTGCGCGCCGAAAGCAAGGAAGCGGTGGATGCAAAGGCCGAACAAGCCTTGTGCGAGCGTGCAACCATGCTCAATAATTGGAATGTTTCTGCATACCATGCATGTAAAAATGAACCTGTTATAAAAGTCATGGTCGGCGTTCAGATTGCTGGTAACCAAGAGTGAACGCAAAGATTTCTTGGGGCGTTTTGTGTGCGAGAATTCAACCACCAGTCACGTATGTTAGTATTTGCGCGTGTATATATACGCGCAAATTTTAAAGATTTCCGGGTAGGAAGGGCAGAGGAAGTGGTGTTTAAAGGGGCCCTGCAACACTTTTCGAGCATGGTCAGAAAACGCTGCCGATCGGTAGTAGATGCTCCCGAGAACACGCGAGCCAATCGTTATAGCGCAGCACGCGGCCTGGAATTCACAATAATCAGTCAGCTAAAAATTGATTTCTCTTCCCTCGACGAGTGACGGAGGAAACTCACAAATCTCTCGTAGAAGGCCATCCATCAGCCATTGGCTGACTTGAACACGGCCACTCAGTCGTTACAGAGATCACCTGCGGGAGGCCGCGACTTGTTCACGCGTGCGCTCTCTATCGCACTGAAAATGCCGCTTATTCTAAAAAAAGAAAAAAAAAAGATCTGCTCAAGATCACGAGGCGCGCGTGACGAATTTTCTTTACCCCTGTCATCCCTCCTGCTCAACTTCCAGCGCTTTCGTCAGTGCGAGAGAAGAATGCGATTGCAGCGTGCGACAAATATTTGCAACTTCGCTCGTACTGTACGGATTCTTAAAATTTTTGCGGCATTGAATTTGTGGGGCAGTAAGCTTTTTCAGTGAATTCATTCGATGATTTCTTAGAAAAGTGTTTCAGGGTCACTTTAAGCTGCATTATTTGGTAATGCCAGAAACAAGTGAAGCTTTTTTTTTAAGGTTTTAGAACTTTAGGACCTTGGTGTCACAGACACTTGGTGAGGTCCGACCGGCCTTACTGAACGGTTGTAGCTAGGACGCCCTTCCTGTGTGTGTTTTAGTTTTCCGAGTGCGCGTGCGTTTTTTTTTTCTATCTACCCCCTCTCTCTTGCCCCTACTTCCCCGCCCCCAGCGCTGGGTAGCAAACCAGATGCTAATATCTGGTGAACCTCCCGGCCTTTCCTTTCTCACTCTCTCTCTGGTGAAGGTAGATACCTAGTCGCAGGTATTCAATCGTTTCATTGGTTTTCAATAGTGTCTGCCAGTGCAATGTGGTGACCGGTGAACACCGATGACAATGTGCACACATCTGCAGGTAGGTTCGACCGATCCTTTTGCCCCGAGTGCAAGATACCCCTACCAGTTCCCTACTCGCCATACGACTACTGGCTTGAGCCCACCTTCATCCGACGCCGGAATGAACGGGAACGCCAACGGGTGAGAACCGATCGAGGGGCTTTCCGAGAGGGTGCATGCCACCTAGTCCGTGGCCGGTTGCCAGAGTTCTGAATATCTCGCTGTCTTGGGCACATTACCAAGGAAACAGAGTGGCATTTTTACATTTTTCAGCGCGATGATTTTAACTGCGCAGCGGGCTTCAATTAGGAGTGGATGCACACGTTTTTTACCAGTATATTAACAGGCTGGACTGGTTACTTAGACTACCAACAATTCATTATTGGGGTTTCTTGGAGTAAAATGGGAGTCGCTTGCAGTGCAAGAGTAACCCTGTAATAGCCACGAGATCCATCAAAGCATCTTTCGAGTCTCGTAAAACAAGTGGTCTTAATTTTTGTTAACAGAACAACAATTTTCATGTAGTAACTAATACACCATGTTCACTCAAACGAAACATGAGTTTTTTTTAGATTACTGGTACATTATGTCGACCCTCGTGTTACGATTGAATACCTAAATGGCTTACTTCCACCAGGATGCAAGGAAAAGTCATCCATCATGTTATAATTGAGTAAATATATGAAAAATAAGAATACAATCCTACAAGTCAAGTTACATTTGTTATCAGCACAATAAAATGTAAAAACGATGTGAATGTATTGAATATTGTGGCAAGAAGATGACTTTTGTCGTAAAGCTCAAGTGGTGATCAGTGACCCATGGAGGCGCCGCAAATTCAAACGAAGTAATGACACAAATAAGGGTGAGATAAATTGTGCTCATGGGCAATAGCACAAAAGGATGAGGATAAATAGAAAAATGGACGTGAGTATTCTATTCATTTGGTGTGTCCTCTTATACTAGTAATCACAAAAGCTCAGACAACTGTGGCTGTATCTTCTTTTGATGCTATTAAACTGCATGAAAAAATGAAGATTCAAGTTGGAAACAAGTCAACAACCAAAACTACAGACTTGGACTTCAATAACTTGGCCCCAGTATGGATCAGGATGACCAAAGTGCTCCGACATGCAAAGGGGACTGTCCTGCATTTGAGGCACTACGCCAAAGCATAAGACTGGCCCACAAACACGGCGATCGGGTTGACACAAAAGATCGCTGAATCTTGCTTTAGCTTCACACATTTGTTTCAGTTGTGCACCTGGATGTATGACACAAGTCCTACACATTTCTCGCTTTAGTTGCACATTGAATGTATGGCACAAGTTGCAGTATAAACCTTCTCCTCACTGCTCCTGCAGTGCAGCCTTTTCTGATTCCGCTTGTTATTTCAGGTTCGGCACGTGAACGACGGATTTGAGCGACTGCGTAGTCGACTGCCTCTTCCGCCACGAGACAAGGATCGCCGGCTGAGCAAAGTTGAGACGCTGCGCTATGCCATCAGTTACATCAGGCATCTGCAAAGGCTGCTGGGACTGATTGATGATGACGACGATGATGAAGATTGCGAGAACAGCCGATGCCACCGATAGCAAGGAGGCCAGGAAAAGAGAGCACATTCCCGGCAGTGAACGATTGGGCATGATGACAGTTGTACAGAGAAAAGTGTGTTGTGTGTGTCGAAAATAACTTTCTGTGCCTCCGCTGTGTTTCCTACATTGCAATCAGCAATAGGTCATCTATATGAACAAATATTAGCTTGTCAGTTATTCAAAAGTCATTATAAAAAAATATGGCACAGTTTTATGTGTGAATAAAGCTTCAGACCTGTATCACCCGCCGAAGCCTGCACCTACATATACTATGTGCATAGCCGCAACACAGATGGTAACGCTTTACATGGCTACGCATCACCCACGCGATGCAAGGAAATAAATTGTCAACTACATTACCTAGACAGAAGCTGCATATTATGAATAAATAAGGAATTAATAATCACCTTGGTAGTGTTGCGAAAATATCACCTGCATATTTTCGACCAAGAATTTACAGTTGGCATCAAAAGTTCGCGTCAAAGGATGACAGAGTGTAAACAAGCTTTGAAGTTCCCAGCAATTACTGCCCGTTTTCAGGTTACCTGTACTGTACGTGTTGTTAGCACATTTAGGAACATGCTAAAAATGTAAATTGCAAGCTGCATGCCAAAGCAATGGAAATATGCTCAACTTTTCTTCATGTATCACGGTACCTAGACGCTGATTGTACAGACTTGCGTAGTTCGCGTGACAACTGCTTCAAGTTGTCCAGCAGAGAACGAAATGCAGACATTTGTAAACTACATATATTCATTTGAATTAAGCCACGAACTTAAATAAGCGAAACAACAAATAAACTAGAAGAAAGAACGACTAAAAAATCTGTCCACAAATTCTCCTCTCAGCAGCAGTAGTGGGTTTCCCACATCAATCACAGTGGGGGAAGAGAGGAAAGCCGGCCTCCAGTGCTTCCACAATGCTATCGAGCGCAAGTTGCGTGTCGGCCACCATCCACCGGTAGCGTGACTCCGGTGATGAATGAAGCAGCGTCCGATGCCAGAAATGCAATAGCCTTGGCTACCTCGTCGGGATTGGCAACTCGGCCTAACGGGTGAGTCGTCTTTGAGTGTTCCAAGAACTGCAGAAGGCAAGAAAGAAACAGCAAATGTGCTTCTTCAGCTTCTGCCCTTGTGCAGTCATAGAAGGAACAGATGATGAAACTAGAGACAATACGAACACGTTTGGTAAGGTCATTCATTCGCTGTCGTTTATATTTAAAAGGGGTGCCACAACACTTTTTGAGTATAGTACGACAACGCTGCTGATCAGTAGTCGAGGCTCCCGAAAATACGCGAGCGAAACATTTTAATGCAGCATGCGGCCTGGAATTTACAATTATTTCTGAAAGCCGACTGGAGATCATTCCCTCTTTTTTCTACAAATGATGCCGTATAACGAAAATATAGTGCCATATACCCAAAATCACAGCTATTGGATGGTATGAACATCGTAAGCAGCATAGTTATCGTTGCCGCCATGGAAGGGCGCCACGTGCTTGCTTACAATCGCTTTGTAAGCAAGCTGCGCATTTCAAGAACAAAAAAGTGCTTAAAGTCATGACATGCACACGACGTAACTGCTTCACCCCTTGTTATCCCTTCCTGCTTAACTTCCAATGTGCTCTTCGGAATGAGAGGAAACAGTTACAGTGTGCGATAAATCTCCGACTCCACTTGAGGGATTATAAGAATGTTTGTGGCAGCCGATTCGTGAAGAAATAAACTCCTTTAATGACGCCAGGCAACGATCACTTGGAAAAGTGTCGCAAGGCCCCTTTAGCAATGTGCATCAATCACTAGCACTGCCAGCGTACTGCTTGATTTAGTCTTCTTTAAAGGATGCTTCAACTGCATCACTTTAAAATTTGTGTACTATCTTCCCATTTGATTACATTCGAGCGATTCTGTGGCACATGGCAAGATTGCCATATAGCACCTAACTGAACTGTCAACTCACCGCGGCATAGGACTCGTCAGTCATGCCTCCACGCTTCTGCAGCTCGGTGAGCACTACTCCGGGGCTGAAATGAAGAGTGCACAACTTGGTGGCGATTGCCTGAATTTCAGCCAGGATCATGAATATTTTAGAAGACAACTTCAAGCCAAAGTCATCCAAGTTACGCAACCCATGTAAAAAAGGCCTGTGCAATGCAATGCCAACATGTTAACAAGAAAAATTGGCAGATCCCACGTAGTGGGAATCGCTGATATGCAAAGCACGAATAAGAAAGGTTGATATGTCTCTTTAAAAACAAGATGACAATACAAGGCGGAAGTAAATTATGCCGTAGAATACTTTCATGTCATGATTATCACGTTTCGACGTGTCATTTACCTTTGTCATCTATTCATGTCACCTGATAACAAATTTGGTATATGTGCAGCTAGCGAAACGGCCACGAGCACGCTATGAACGTAGCATGTAGTTTTACATGGCGTGACTATCATGATTATCATGTTTAGACATGTCACATACCTTTGTCGTCCATTGACGTGCCGTATTACTGCCGTAAACTGGGTGTATGTGAATAAAGCGAAACGGCGGCGAGCGCACGAAACATTGATGCGCGCACACGCTCAGCGCAGCAACGCTACGTTAGCCAACCGTGAGCACTCTATAGTCTGACCATGGCCGCCTGGATCGAGCGCGTGATCCAGGCGGCCGTGGTCGGATGCTAGGCAGAATAGCGTCTGTCAGGGAGGCCCGGTGGCAACCGGAGCAAAATGCTACATGCTGCATTTCGCGCCGACGACGTTACCTAGGCAGCAGCGCGTCTGCTTAGCTTCGTGACGGAAGGACGCCGGGTGCACTCAAACACGCATGCGTCAAAGCAACGCAGAGCACTGTGCCCCAGCAAGTATTTGCCAGGGAAACCAGCACCTGGCGTGGCATCGCCGGCGTGACGCGACAAAACGAACGCGGACGCCCACTGGTTCACATTGAAGTGTTTTGGCGCCTTGAGTGTGGCACGTAATCAAGTTCTTACATTAAACACATCTCATAATTATCATGTCTGTACCAGTCACATACTTTTGTCATCCATTCACGTGACGTAATACCAAATTTGGCATATGCGAACCCAGCGAAACGGCCCCGAGCGCATCATGATGGTGGCATGCAGTCATGTTGTTACATGAGATGCATGTCACGATTATCATGTTTGGTTGTGTCATTTACATACAGTATTTACTCGATTCTACCGCGCCCTCGATTGTAACGCGCACCGGATTTCCACCGCAAAAAAAAAAAAAGAAAAGCAAGACATCGATTGCAACGCGCACCCATTTTTTTCGCTGGCCCGCACGATCACACCACTCGCAAAAACGACTCCTTTCGGGAGTTTCTCATAATCATATGGTGGTTTTGGCACGTTAAACCCCACATATCAATCCTTTCGGGAGCGCCTTCCATTCAAATATGAGGTACGGGCGAAGCTTGTGCCCATCTGACGTGTAACAGAGCATTGCCTTCACTGTAGTTTTACCGTGGACCGATGTCAGCACGCGAACTTGCTTCGCCCCCTTTTTCTCGACGGTTGTGGTGCCAGGCATGTCGAAGTAAAGAGGCGTCTGATCGGCATTCCCGATTTGCCCAAGCAGGTAGCCGTTGTTGCACTAAGCTTTAGGACGAACCTCTGAAGACTGTGAAGCTTTTCATCGTACTCCTCCGCAAAACTTTTCGCATATACATGTTCCCCTTCGGAGGGAAAAGCCTTTCCTCTTCATAAAGTTAGTTAGCCAGCACCTGCTCGCTTTAAACTGGCTCCGCATTAGACCTTTTTCTAAGACTATTTGCATAGCCCGCACTTGGAGCAGTTCTGTCGTCACGGGCCTCTGTGCCGCTTGCTGCTCAAGCACATACTCGCCGAGCAGCTCTTTAATTTGCGGAAACCGACCCTGCTGTGGTCTACTGAAGCTTTTGCATGAAGCTTTGCTGTCGACAATCTTCTGCTAGTTTCCACTGGTCCCGCACGCACGTTTAGGGAACTCCGAACGACCGCGATGCGGCCCGATTTCTGTCCGTTTCTGCACACGCGATGACTTTTCGTTTAAAAGCGACATCGTAGTGCACTCTAGTTTTTGGGGTCGGCCCTTCCACGCCGCCGATGCTAATGCACTACTAGATGACGAACTCCTCAGCACACGTACGAAGTGCCGCACATGGGAAACACATAGGCAGAAATGGCCACCGCACCATGCCGACGCACGTAGGGAGCGGCCATTTCGGATTTGCCGATGGCAATAGATTGGCCGTAATTTTTTTTGTTTGTACTCGATTCTAACGCACATGCGATTTATGAACTCGTTTAACTGGAAAAAAGATGCGCGTTAGATTCGAGTAATTGCGGTATGTCATCCGTTCGTGTCACGTAATACCGAATTTGGTACATGTGAAGCTAGCGAAACGGCCATGTGCGCATCATGAGTGTAGCATGTAGTCATGTTCTTACATGACACGCATATCATGACTATCATGTTTGCACTAGTCCCATACCTTCGTCATCAATTCACATCATGTAATACAAATGTGGTATATGTAAAGCTAGTGAAACGAATGCGAGCGTACCATGAGTGTGGCACGTAGTCATAACTCATGACTTACATGACATGATTCCCACGTTAGGGTCTGTCACTTGTGTTCACCATGCAGTCATGTCATACCATGCCAATTTCTCAACATGTGTCATGTGAACGAAACCACCGCAAGAGCAGCAACACCATGAAATGTAAATCATGACATACATGTCATGATAGTCATGTTATGACTTGTCAATTATGTTCATCATACAGTCATGTTATACCATACCAAACTTTGTATTGATACTATTAAAGGAACAGCTAGGAGAGCTAAAAGCCGTATGCGACTAGATACATAGATACGCTCAAAGTCGCCAAAGTTCGCTAAGAAATGCTTCACATTTAAAATGCTGTTAAAGCCAGACAAAAAAAAATAGAGTTCACTTCAGACACTCCTTGCTGTACGACAATCAGTACACCGACACCTGGTTCATGCACACCTACCCATGCATCCTTCAAAGCCACATAAAATGCACCATGTAGAAAAAGTGCAGGAGAACTCACTTTACAGCATTCACCCTGACTTGCTTGCTCGCCAGCTCTGTCAAAAGAGGTAAGCCATCAATGAATGTATATGTCGTGCTGCACCACCAGCGCTCGCCGAAAAGTGGAAGGGTGTCGAGTTTTTAAACAATTTCAAATTCAAAACTTGAGATGAAAAGTTAACTATGGAGTTGTAGGATGCAAACGTCTCGGCTATTGCAAAATATTTTTTAGACCATGTTTATTCATTTTGATCTGAGTTCAACTGTTAGCCTTGTTATGGTCTGTATTGTGTGCCTCACCGTGAGCATAATCACACCAGTTGATATGAATGAACAAGCCAGGCCGCTAGCCAGCACCCTGAAGTGATTCAGCACTTTCAAAAGGTGTAAGTCAAATACACATTATTTTTCTTGCTCTTCATATAGGCATTCAATTATAGACAAGTTGTTTCGTTATACTATTGCATCTGTGCAAGTATGAATGTTGCAGTAGAGTTTGACAACTCATTCATTAAACATAGTATGCACCTGACTCATCCTTATGTACAGACACATACTCGTACTTATCTCCAAGAGGAAACCACCCAAGCACAGTTGGTAGTGGATAATTTGGACGTAGCAGGCCATGAGAAGTCAGGGCTTGGCTTTTCTAGTTCTTGCAACACTCAACGAACCTGCTTCTATAACCGAATATGCGGTGCGAACAAACACTCGACACGACGACAATGGACGAGCACTCTTCTTGTCTCGTGCTTACTTCTGCACTATGTATTCTGCTAAGACAATGACCCACCGTTTCCGTCAAAACCCTGTCCTTTCAGAGATCTATTACTAAGGTGCAGAGACTCCTAATGGTGTAGGTATAGATGCACAACATTACAGAAAAAAATGACACTGTGGACTTACCTAGGGCAGAACAATGGGTTAGCTGATCAACTGCACTTTTGGACATGCAGTAGGGCAGCACATTTTGAAACTGGAATAAAAAAAGGTCAAGCAACCGTCATTTTTTTTTTTCCAGTTTGTATTAGGAGACAGCAGTAAGCCAAGCTTGGGAAATTTTATTCAGAATGAATTAGTGTTTCCCATCATTCAGTCGACAATCGCCAACATGTGCCAAAACAGTAGCACCCCACCACAACGCAATTGGCGGGGAAACAGGAAAATTACGCTATTTCGAGAATTTCCTTATCATAAGATAACACAATTGAAGTCGAGAAATGACCAGAAAAACTAAATTTATCGCCAAAGTCTGTTAGTTTGGCTTGTCAGGCTTTGCCGTGTGGCAAACACATACATCTTTCTTTGCTAAGCAGCAAGCAGTCTATCACGACATCGTTGTCCATTGCTACGAACATCTGAACTGTGTCGAATGCATCCGACACATCTCGTGGGCTGGAAAACTTCTCCCCGTGGCTTGCGCGACACTTTGCGAATCATGCAGCATTTTGCGTGAAGTTTACATGCAATGCTTCGCTAAAGCAGGACCACATGAACTGTGCACAGTATACAATGCATTACTTTAGGTACGCAAAGAATAGTCATGTCCTGGTAAGAAGCTAAATAAAGAGTCACTTCAGACACTCCTTGCTGTACGACAATCAGTACACCGACACCTGGTTCATGCACACCTACCCATGCATCCTTCAAAGCCACATAAAATGCACCATGTAGAAAAAGTGCAGGACAACTCACTTTACAGCATTCACCCTGACTTGCTTGCTCGCCAGCTCTGTCAAAAGAGGTAAGCCATCAATGAATGTACATGTCGTGCTGCACCACCATCAAAACGCTGATGAGCGCTCGCCGAAAAATGGAAGGGTGTCGAGTTCTTAAACAACTTCAAATTCAAAACTTGAGATGAAAAGTTAACTATGGAGTTGTAGGATGCAAACGTCTCTGCTATTGCAAAATATTTTTTAGACCATGTTCATTCATTTTGATCTGAGTTCAACTGTTAGCCTTGTTATGGTCTGTATTGTGTGCCTCACCGTGAGCAAAATCACACCAGTTGATATGGATGAACAAGCCAGGCCGCTAGCCGGCACCCTGAAGTGATTCAGCACTTTCAGAAGGTGTAAGTCAAATACCACATTATTTTTCTTGCTCTTCATATAGGCATTCAATTATAGACAAGTTGTTTCGTTATACTATTGCATCTGTGCAAGTATGAATGTTGCAGTAGAGTTTGACAACTCATTCATTAAACATAGTATGCACCTGACTCATCCTTATGTACAGACACATACTCGTACATTATCTCAAGAGGAACCACCCAAGCACAGTTGGTAGTGGATAATTTGGACTTAGCAGGGCCATGAGAAGTCAGGCTTGGCTTTCTAGTTCTTGCAACACTCAACGAACCTGCTTCTATAACCGAATATGCGGTGCAGAAACAAACACTCGACACGACGACAATGGGACGAGCACATCTTCTTGTCTCGTGCTTACTTCTGCACTATGTATTCTGCTAAGCAATGACCCACCGTTTCCGTCAAACCCTGTCCTTTCAGAGATCTATTACTAAGGTGCAGAGACTCCTAATGGTGTAGGTATAGATGCACAACATTACAGAAAAAATGACACTGTGGACTTACCTAGGGCAGAACAATGGGTTAGCTGATCAACTGCACTTTTGGACATGCAGTAGGCCAGCACATTTTGAAACTGGAATAAAAAAAGGTAAGCAACTCGTCATTTTTTTTTTCCAGTTTGTATATAGAGACAGCAGTAAGCCAAGCTTGGGAAATTTTATTCAGAATGAATTAGTGTTTCCCATCATTCAGTCGACAATCGCCAACATGTGCCAAAACAGTAGCACCCCACCACAACGCAATTGGCGGGGAAACAGGAAAATTACGCTATTTCGAGAATTTCCTTATCATAAGATAACACAATTGAAGTCGAGAAATGACCAGAAAAACTAAAATTTATCGCCAAAAGTCTGTTAGTTTGGCTTGTCAGGCTTTGCCGTGTGGCAAACACATACATCTTTCTTTGCTAAGCAGCAAGCAGTCTATCACGACATCGTTGTCCATTGCTACGAACATCTGAACTGTGTCGAATGCATCCGACACATCTCGTGGGCTGGAAAACTTCTCCCCGTGGCTTGCGCGACACTTTGCGAATCATGCAGCATTTTGCGTGAAGTTTACATGCAATGCTTCGCTAAAGCAGGACCACATGAACTGTGCACAGTATACAATGCATTACTTTAGGTACGCAAAGAATAGTCATGTCCTGGTAAGAAGCTCATAGTGATACAACAGCACATAAAAAAATAAAATGTATAAACTAAACAATGTAGTGGTCATGACGATATCCGGCACAGGCAGCTAAAGAGGGCAGTGCCCATACAAGCATAATGTGGTTAGTTTTCGGTTAATTCAACTGTACAGCAGTAGCGTATGAGGACATACTACTGCCGGCTGACTTTCCCAGAGTACATTACCTGCGAAAAAATGCTGAGTAAATTATCGTTATTGCGCGATTGCAGTTCTGCAATGTCTCATTGCTGAGAAACTAGACATGCACTGAATTGTATAGGCATTTGCCAAAGACAACAATATATTATGTAGTCAGGGGAATGTCGTTTCTAAGAGATTTCATTATTGCAAGGTCCAACTATAGTTTAACAATGCTGAAAAAAAAAAAAAAAGAGTTACACTTAAACTTCATTAATAACAAAGTTGCATCTGTCACGAAAATATGTTTGTTATATCTGAAAATTCGTTAAAAAGACATGGCAAGACTATTGTTCATCTACTTAATCATAACTGTTATTTCGTTATATCTAGCTTTGTTATATTGAGGTTTGAGTGAATTTCATGCTGTTTTTTTACACTTCTCTGTAGAATAAATTTAAAAGCCCTCTAGACTTCCTCTGAATGTTCCTTAATGAGTATAGTAGAATGTTGAACAGTTCCTTTAATGATGATGTAAGTTTCAGCATCACAACGAATCAACAAGTTGGAGCGTACCGATCTGATGCCAGTGACACTAGACACGTTGACAACGTTCCCTTTGCTGAGGATCAGATGCGGCACAGCCAGTGTCATTAAGTGGAACACGGACCTGCACAAAAATGAATGAACGTTGTTGAGACAAGTAGCAAGTGCACTGCCTTCGGCAGCTGTACACTTGTTTTCGAGTCGCGAATAAATGCCCTGAAGATTTTCAATGAACCTCACATAATCAGTTCTGAGCTATACTCAATCACTAACAAAGAAACGTTAGCTCCTCCCACAGTTGTCGTTTCTCGTTTTCACTACATCACGCAGGTCACGAACTATTTAGATAGTGGACTTCTCCATATAGACACATGCTTGTGTTGCCGATTTGGCATCATAAACTTGAATTTTTCGGTGAATTTTCTCAGGATACTGACTTAGCTGCTAAACTAAATGAAATCTTCTAATTAATTAGAAGCAACGAACATTTAAAGGGACTTTGATTGACTTTTTTTGGGTAGCCATGAAACATATTCACTAACAAAGCTTACTACTGCCTCCCAAGTTCGCCGCAAATATTTTTAGAATATATAGAGTACAAGCAGTTACAAACATTTGTCGCGTGGTGCTATTGCATTCTCTCTTCTCTTGGCCAGACAAAGGCGCCAAAGCTAAGCAGGGCGGGATGGCATGTTGAAAGAAAATACGTCAGGCAGCATGCTTCGTGACCCTGAGCCCTTCTTACCTTATCACTTTTATTCGAATACGTAACTCTTCAGAGGCACACGTGGACAAGCCACGGCCTCTCACGGCCTTTTGTGAATTATGCTGCCCCCACTGAAATCTGTAATTATGCTGAATTCATTTGGCAGATCTAGATCAACTTTTTCTGCTCAGAGTGGAGCAATCATTGGGAGCATAAACTGTGTGTTCCAATGGCAGAATGGAAGCACCTACAGAATATGAATTATTCCGTGGAAAAAGGATTCTTGATCCGCCAAAATCGACAGAGTTAACCGAAAATGTGCGTGATGTATTCTGTGCATGTCATCCCATCATGGCCGCATGTTTACGATTGCAGGTAACCGTGCACGACCAGGAGAACACGTCATGGCTCTCACACCCTCTCGCTTGATTTCCACGTACCAACTACTTCCGTCGAAGTGCACGCGTTCCCATTGTAGACTGGGTGAAAGCAATTCCTCTCCGATTTATGAGCTTCGCTCGCGATTCGGCTGAATGCTCACAGTCTGCCATTGGAATTCGACATAACAGAAGCTTCATTTAAAGAGAGGATCACAGACAACAGCAAAGCAGTGATGAGCTTTCGAGAGACGTACCTAACGTTAATGGCAAACATTTCGTCGTACTGTTCAAGAGATGTGTTTTCAATGCTCCCATTGGCGATTATGCCGGCACAATTGACCTGTAAAGACGAAACAATGACAGGCAGGTTGATAACACCGAATTCTCACAAATATTCTTAAAAAACACCGTAAAGTGGACTTAACAAGTACAGCTCAGCATTGTTATAACACCTTTCCACGGTGGTCAAGTGATTATCGTGCTCGACCTCTGACCCAAATGTCGTGGCATAGAAGCTCGGCCGTGGCGGCCATAATTGGATTGAGGCAAGAAGCTAGAGACTTAGTGCGCTTAAATTTGTGTGCACATTAAAAAACACCTGATGGTGAAAATTTTCTGAGCCCTTCACAACAGTGTCCCTAGTGATCATATTGTGGTTTTGGGATACAAAACCTGAAAAATCATTATTTAAACATAGCACAATTAGAAAAAAATAATTAAATATTTAATAGATATACACTCACTTGAACCTACAGATATCAAACTACAATAAGATAGCAAAACGATATATGCCGAATTCGTGCTTATTTAAAACTTTGGCAATTTCTAAAGTGTTAGGAGTGGTTGATATAGCTAATATTGCCCTGCGCGGTGGTTCAATTGTGACAAACCATAAATTTGTTTCATGCCAGTAGAGGCGAGCAAACAGATTTACATCAATCAATTCAAAAATTATGTTTATTAAAGTACTATGAGGAGCTTTCATTGCATTTCTGGGGAGAACAAAAATCAGAGACCTACCAGAATATCAATTTTACCAAACTTTTTGCTCGTAGATTCAACGAGAGTTTCGGCTAACTGAGTATCCGTGAGGTCGCCGGGGGTTTGTAGAATCTGAAAAAATGCAGATTACATTCAAACTTAATTACTTCGGTACTGCATTCACAACACTTCCTGCAACTGTCCCCCAATGATAGTCACAAAAAGTAAAGAGATTGCATTTATGTGGATTACATTTGCAGCAGACTTAAGGGTCTTAAATGTGCTAGTGAAGAGCTGTTTCTTCACTGTATACCAGCTGGACTAGCTAACTACAGTAAACTTGCCTAACCAATAAAAAGTTGGTCAGGATGTTGAAAAAACTCCCAAGCATTTCCCCGAGGGTGAACATGGTTAAGTGCGAATACACGGGGTGATGCTATGAGGGGTATTTATTAATTTGCACTATTATATTTATTAATCACACTATGGTGCCTTTATGGTGTAATGGTTCCTGGGAATTGCAAATTGATCACACGGGGGAGTTTACGTTAACTCACTGGCGAATGCCAACGGATTTTAACTTTACTCCCCCTCACGAACCGCTCTCGATGGGAGACTGAGAGAGAAGGCGGGCGTGCGAGAGAGAGGGGTGCGCGCGCAGCTGCAGCGAGCGAAGGGGGCGCGTCCGTGGCTTATTCGGTAGAGCGTCACGCTGCGGCCCGCCAAGTCCTCTTTCTTTTAAAGATAGAGAGAAGACTGCGGACGCCGCCGACGGCGGTGGATGGTTTGGGGTCGCTTATAAAGTGTATTCACACTTAAAACAGCTGCATATTGAGGTTCAAAACATGGCAGATTTGCTGGGAACATTTTTTCTTAGTGACACAGCCAGCCCATGGAGTGGGCCTGCTGCGTCACTTAGAAAAAAGATTTCTTGACATGAAGGCAAGGCCTGACGATCCTGACGTGGGAGTTGCCTGCTGTACGCTAAAGCATGCCTTTAGGACCTTAATAAAGTCTTTCAATGAACCAACCAATTAATCAACAGAAAGTCACCTGGATTGAGTGCAACACGCTGCACTAACAACGCAAGTTGGAGAAGTAGCTTCGTAGAAGCCGATCCTAAACTGTTTAAAGACGCTTACTCAAGCACAGATCATGGAATGTAATTTAAGTTTAAAAGCTAGCGAACTCAGGGTACACATCTCATTTATGAACTGTCACTGCTGAATCTGTTAGGCACGGCGGTTATCTCAAAATCTAAACCACTCCGATTTCATTTTATGGGGTTGATCATTGTGAACTCTCAGCCTACAATTTAAAAGTCGCAATATATATTATAAATCATTAGAAAGTTAACAACAAATAATCCCATATGACTGCCTTACCTTAAACAAATTTACTTTTTCCTTAAAAATTCTGGGTTTATAATGTATTAATTATACATTATAAACCCAGAATTTTTTTGTTCATTAAGCAGTATTACAGTGCTAAAATAGTCCAACAGAGCGGTGACATCAAGCAGGTATGGAAGCTAGTGCGAGAAGTTACGGGAATAGGCGAAAAAAAGCGCATTGCTCCGGATAATCCTACAACAAATACCGCTGATAACTTCAATAATTTTTTTACCAATGTTGGTAACAACTTTCCTGCTCAATCTCAAGCAGATCCTCTACATTCTTGCCAAAACAAAATATTTGAGGAAGACTTTCAGCTTGCAAGCGTAACCACTGAGGAAATTAGGTCAGAAATCCTAAAACTCCCATGCAATAAAGCCGTTGGTCATGATGGGATTACTACAAAACTACTGAAGGTAAATGTAGACCTTCTTTCGGAGCCTCTTTCCCGCATCATGAATAACTGCCTGCAAAATGGAACTTACCCAAATATCCTAAAGATAGCGAGAGTCGTACCTATTTACAAATCCGGGGATCGAGAAAATCCGAGCAGTTACCGTCCCATCTCGGTGCTCAGCATTGTTAACACGCTTTTTGAAAAGGTAATTAGGTCCCGTCTCTGTCGATTTCTAAGCTCAAACGACATAATCTGCCCTGAACAACATGGTTTCATCACAAATAGGTCAACGAGCACAGCTGTTTTTACACTAGCACAGTTCGTCAACTCAGTACTTCATGATAACGAAATTGCCGTCAGCGTTTTCTTGGATATAAAAAAAGCATTCGATACTGTTTCGCATTCCATTTTATTAAAAAAAACTAGAATCTTATTATGGCTTCACCGAGAAGACACTTCGGTTATTTTCTAGTTATCTGGCAGATAGAAAACAATGCGTCGTGTTTGACCGTATATCTTCAGGATTTAGAAAAATAACATGTGGAATACCCCAGGGAACCGTGCTAGGTCCTATGTTGTTTTCACTATACATAAATGACCTACCATCTGCACTTTCACGCAAAACCATAATGTACGCTGATGACACTGCATTGCTTTCTCGAGGTAACTCTCTGTGCACGCTAAAAGAAGAAATCACGGCAGAGTTGGCACAGATTTCCGCATGGTTCGCCCGCAACAAGCTCGCATTAAATGTAGCCAAAACTAAATATATCACATTTCATTCCAGAAGAAAAAACCTCGATTATAGTCAGCTGGACTTAGAAATTAACGACGCGCCCATTGAGCGCGTTTCCGCGTTTAAATACTTAGGGGTTCTAATAGATGAAAACCTGAATTGGAAAGATGAGGTTAATTACATATCCAAAAAGCTTGCTTTCGCATGCTTCACGCTCATTAAAGCCAAATGTTACTTTCCATATAACGTGCTACGATCATTATACTTCTCTATATTTCACTCTCAACTCAGTTATTGTAGCGAAATATGGGGCTTTACTTATCTAACGTATATAGCACCGATCATACGATTGCAAAAACGCGCCTTAAGAATTATTACGGCATCGTCCTCTTGTTGCCCAAGCTCAGATTTGTTTTCATCTACTCAGATACTGCCTTTCACGTCTCAGCGAAATTATAAAACCGCGGTGTTGATAAATTCTATCATTAACACCAATTTTCCACTACCTGTGAGTGCGTTTTCTACACCGACCCGTAACACAAGGCATGCAGGCAACGGCAACTTCAACCTCCCTACTTGTAGGAATGTATATGGCGAACGGTTAATACAATTCACTGGTGCTAAAATCTGGAACACAATTCCACTTGAAATTAAACTTGCCCGCAACTTTAAATTCACTTGTAAAATGCATTTTGTAAGTTTTTCATGTTCTTAACCAAAGTTAAGCTCACGTCCACACTTTTTTACGACTCATCTGGCATAGTTCTTTTTCTTTCCTTCTTTTTGTTTCTAGTTCTGAAGTGAGTTCGATTGTATTGATTTCTTCAACGCAGTTAATTTTGTGCACAAATTGTGCTAAATATTTTGTGGTATCACTATCTTCTGTATTGTTACAATGTATGCCTTTAGTTCTTTATCACTTGTGTACTAAAGTATTTGCAGCAATTTAGCATTTATTGTCATGTGTATTTAATTCGATAAAATATACCTTAAAAGCTACCCTGTCATTGAATTTGTGTATAGATTCATAATCATATTAACTGCACCTCTGCTCCTGACATGTAATAAAATAATCATGTAATAGATTGGACCACTGACTAGCCACACAGGCTAATGGTCCAAATACTTTTGTAACCATGTTTTTGTATTACGTTGATTGAATAAACACTGATGATGATGAATGTGTTGCCTGAAACTCCCGACGCACTGTGAAGCCCCCCCCCCCCCCCCCAAAGACATTGAAAAGATTACTAAAGAACATTTTTTTAAATTTATTAGTAAATTACACTAAAACAATGCAGCACCGAAAATGCCACCATTCTCATGAAGATGTTTTGTAAGTGAGAAAACATGCGCGATAAGAAAGTATATGGGTAGGTGGTAATTAATGCCAGTTTCAGGTTTCAGCAAATGTGGCTGACATAAGAAAGAGATAGAATACAAAAATATGTGGTGCCGCTGTAATACGCAGAAGAAATTTTAAAGGCGCAGCCAACATAGACAGAAAAAAAAAAGCCTCCTTTCTTTTTTTTTTTCTATGTGACCTGCACCCTTAAAGGGACACTAAAGTCAAATGTTAAGTTGATGTTGATCACTGAGATAGCGATCTAGAAACTTCGCAGTGCTACTTTTGTGCCAAGAAAGTGCTTATTTTAAAATAAAGTTACGTTTTAGTGGTCCGCATCGCATTGGCACACTTCAAATTACCTGCCTCTAGTGGGACCTTTCACGTCACTGTTGCCGCGCACAATGTTTGCCTGGCTTTACCGTGCGACCACCGACATTAGTAGCAGCAGAACGAAAGTAGCAGGAGCCACGGCAGGAACAACAGCCATGGAATGATTTTCTGCCATGTCCTCCGAGATGGCAGGTGTGCTTAGTTCAACTGGGCTTCGCTGGGTAGCACGACCTGTCCAGTTTAACCAGGAGAAAATTGAACTTCTGAACCACTCGTGCCATACCCCACGTGCGGCAGTTCTTTTTTCCAAGAATCAAACAGAAACGAACAAGCAGCATTTTATTTTTTCATTTTTTATTTATTTAAAGAATACTGCAGACAGTTTTTCACCATCCTAGCAGGAGAGGGTTACATAAGGTTCCTAACACAGAGGTCAAAACTAGAAGTCGGAGCGTGCACGCAGTCGGAAGGCAGTGAATTCCAGTCTTTAAATTCCAGTCTTCAATTGTTGTTACAAAAAAGGAGTACTTGAATGTGTTATTTTTAGGAGCATATGGTCTTACAATTTTTGAACGATTTAACCTTGCTGCGCGCTGAGGAAGTGGCAGAATGTACAATTCTTTATTTAAACCAGATTCATTGTTATATAGTTTATAAAAGAAGACTAACCTTGCAATTCTTCGCCTACATTCCAGTGATTCCAGCTCACATTTATTTAACATTTCAGAAACGGAGGAGAGGCGCCTAAAGTCTGAAAAAGTGAACCATGCACTTGGCCGCTGAATCCTTTCCACTCTATGTCTTTATTTAAATATGGGTCCCACGCAAGGGATGCGTATTCTAGCACTGGTCGAACCAGGGTTTTATAGGCTACAATTAATCATTAGTTCGATTACTAATGATTAATTGTAGGCTGTAAGCCTGACGTCATCGGGATCAGGTTGTAAATATCCTACACACGACACATGTTCTCGAGCATTTACATAAATTCTTCAGTAAGTAGGGCAGTGCTGTTGATAATATTGTCGGTTCAGACATTGTCATACATTGAGCTTTCACTCTGACTTAAAATGTTACCCAACTTTAGTGTCCTTTTAATATTTCTTCAGTATGAACCAACTAGCCCAACAACACGTTTTTGTAATAGTCAGACACTGAATTTTGGATGATAATTCCCTGAACAGTACTTTTACTGGCGTTTTCCCTTTCATGAACCTACTGTTGCTAAATCAGAAAGACTTCTAAATGAATAGTTTGTCAGAAAGAACTCGTTTATTTTTTCATATTGGCATCTCTTGAAGGAATACTGATGTGAAACAATGAATGAGTTTAGATCTATAGGTTTCTCTCTGAGAACTGTAATGTTGTGAATTCCACAATCACATGTTTAATATATACTAATTATTATTAACAATTATGCTGAAACGTTCACGCCTGACTTCACAGATTTCAAAGAGTATCTTTTGCAACCAAGTGGCATTTGCTCGACAAAACTTCCTGAAACTTCGCATGTTATGTCTAAGCCTCCTTACATGAAAATATCCTTCACTTTTACCAATTAGAAATTAGCATGCAGCACCAAGTAGGCACCATCAAAATCTACGACGCTGCAGTTAGTGTAAGAATATCAACATGGCGTCACCCCCCTATATTGTTCTTTTGCACGCCTTCTTTCTCGCTTACCAGGCATCTCCTTGCTGCAAGCAAGGGGATCTCAGAATTTTAACAAAGTGACTTGATAAGCGAGAAAAACCCTTTTTCTCTTGTGTCATTTAAAGATCACAACACTTGATAAATTTGAAAGCAAAGGCATGGAGTGCGTACTTTGACATCTTTTGGCATATACTGCTGGCACTCTTCTGTGATGAGCTTGAGCTTGTCGTCTTTCCGGCCGTTTAGCGATAACCGAGCTCCAAGCTTCGCAAACAGCTTGGCCGTGCTCCAGCCAATGCCCGAGGTTGCACCTGCGGCAAGGCACCTTTTCTGTTCACAACAACTAACAGACGAGACATGGAGGAAATATTAATAGTATACAGTTTTAGGTGTATGGTCGTTTCTTACCCGTTATGATGGCTACCTTGCCCGACAGGTTGATGATTGCTTCGGGTGGCATTTCTGGTCAACAGTGCACCTGCGGAACAAACACTGGAGTCGGAGTTACCAAAGCTTAAAGACAGAGGTAAATGTTGCGATGCTGTAGCATACAGAAGGTGCACTTCGAACAAAAAACCAGAGCTGTTGTTGAAAGCATACAATGCCCCTTTGGGCCACACCTTATAGAAGCCTCAGAAATGCTTGAGGAAAGTGCCTCTTAGAAATATGTTGATAAAAGAATTGCTTAGAAAAACGTGGTATGAAGAAAGATATACCTTTCACAACTGCCCTCAACTTGTAAGTAGTGACTCTTGGGTGAAGCAGTGAGGATCCATTAAGTAGGCATTCTAAGCGAGCAGATGATAAGAAAAAGGGACAGCAATTTTGGCCTCTACGTAACCTGTCCCTTTTACTTGTAGTCTACGTGCTGTTAATACCTTCCTAGTAGTGCCTTTACTTATTGGTTGTGGCCACCTATTAGGAATGGTGCGTTGCTTGTGGTGCTGTATTTTATTAAAAATTGTGAGGATGTAGCCAAGAATAAATACACAATTGATTTTGGTTAGTGCTTTGAGAAAAATGTTGATTGTCAGTGATTGATGCAATTTCAGCGAGGTGCCTTACTTTAGGCCCAAGCAGACGGAATTCTGTCACACCCCAGGCCAGCAAACTTGAGTACCCTGGTTGATCATCACTGCTCAATGCCGCATCCGTGTCTGTGAACACAATGTCGTATCGTGCGCTGCCAACTGCTACTTGACAGGCTGGGTGACACTCGAGAGAGAGTAGTGATGCCTCTCATGCATAGATGATCAACCTTGTGACATCTAACGTGCGGCTACAATTGATGCATAACAAAACCAATGAATTGGGTTCTATTTGTAGTTATGTTCCAAATTTAACACACAGTACATTCTCAACACTATTATTCACAGAAGAGAATGTGCATTAGAGCCTTCCAAACACTGAACACAGTAGCACTTCAGGATAACTTCTTCATGAGCTAGTTGGTGTTTTAAGAGCATATTGTAGTGACGCTAAGTTCGTAAAAGACACTAAACAAAGGACTGTCTTTTCTCTCCTGCTGCTTCGCTTCCTTCAAGAAGGTTGCAGTACAATAAGCACAATAGAAGCATAGAGGAGTTCTCTTATCGAAACATGCTGCCCAGAGACTAAATTTCTGATAGGCCAGCTAGACCATTGCTTAGGGCCTGTATTCTGGGACTACCACTATTGGTAACAGTGACTTTGCATAAAGAAAGCACAATGCAAAACCAGTTAGTGATTCATTCTTACTTAAAATACTCCAGTGCAACTCTAACAGTGCCCGTCTCGTCACACACTTCTTAGTCCTATCCTCACCAAAAGTAGAACTGGACATAAGTTGGCAACACAGTTGGAGCTCACTCAACAAATATATTCTGCTCTGAGGGACGACACGGGTCTCAGACTCAACCAAAATTTTTCTCATGCAGACTCACTTGTACTTTTTTTACTCAATCGTACTCACTCTGACTCTAATTCACCAAAATATTACTATCCCAGACTCATAAGCTGACCTACTCTTGAGTATGAGTGAGTGCAATTACAAGTGCACTTTTGACCTATGGTGTTGGAATATTCAAAGTAACGGTGTCCTTTTGTGTGACTTTGAATCTGGTGTGCCCAACGACTCGGGTGAAAACCATGAAAATAGGGTGTTGGTGGTGCCATTGTTTCGACAAGTCTTTATGAATGCTCTACCCTTCACGAATCTTTCATCTCTTCAAGCTTCATCTCACCCCGAACTTCAGCTAATGACTCAGCCGTTTTAGATACCACTTTTCTCTCTTACACCCATGTAAAAGCAGGGCAGTGGCCCGATTGGATAGTGGTGTTAAGAGTCATGCACCTATCTCCACAATGCACATGAAATCAAGCTACAAGAAGAAAAGAATCATTATTGAAGTGCAATGTCATAGTCCCCATGCAGCTATGAAGGTTTCTTACTAGATATGTATTCGAATGATTTGTCAGTAACATTGTTCACATTAAGGCATTGTACTAGTATCCTATTAAGCAGTGCTCAGCATGCCGTACCTCATGCATCGACACACAATGCAAGCCAGATTTTTTCTTAACACAAATTCTTTTAGGAATTCTGATATGTTCAAACTGCCATTCATTCTGACAACATGCAGAAATCCCTTAGCACAGTAAACAGAAAAGCTTCATAATGTGCCGGCATTTCGCTGTACTTTTACAAATGGAGTGAACTTTACAGTCAGAATGCAGGCAAGGGCCTTGAAGCTTTCAAATTCATTAATTTGCAAATAAACATCAGCTGGAAGTTAGCCTCTTCCGTGTTTGTTGTTGTCGCTTGCCCAAAAGTTCTTGCTCATTGTGTCTACTAGCTTAAACCCTTACATTATTTTACTAATCATACAGTAACGATGTACACTGGATACCAGAAGGCTAAACGTTTAGCACAGGAGAAACAAATATGTAACTAAAAGGCAACAATATGCAGTGCTATGTTGATAGAAATAAACATACACAGAGACGATTAGCACCAACTAACAAGAACCTCTGCATTGACAAGACAAGACCATCATTCTTGCATGCTTATCAGTAAATATGTCATCACAGCCTCACAGGGTAAATAACTAAGAAGTTGTAAGAAGACAACGAGCGCTGTCTTTTGCACCTGCCATCGTCAGTCTTCTATTATGTTCGTCTAAAGTTCAACACTGCTTTCCCCTTCTTTGCACAATGAACCAACTGGCCGGACTTTAACCCCAGCAAACAAGCTGCGCCGTGTTTTCAATTTGGGCAATAAGCCAATAACCACTTCTTCATCTTGCACTGAAATACTGAACGAGACTGTTTATGACATAAAACAGGCGAGGACGGAAAGAGGAAGCTACCGAGCGGTGCATAGTGCACTGAAACTTGGTCACTTACATAGCGTTCTCAAGTGCGCTTCAAATTTCACGTAATTACTGAACACTTCACACTGTGCACAACTATGTCTGTCGCAACTTTACACCGATGTCACAAAGTAACTTTTTATTGCTGTGGGGCCTGCTTCAAATCGAAGTTTATTGATTCTGATTGGCTCCTTTACACAAACTGCGTACAGGGGCCAATCTCGATTGAGAAGGCTCATCCCGATCGGGTTTGATTGAGATAAGAAGTGCACTTTGATACGCCTGAATGAGCAGTTTTTCTTACCAGTGCTACAAGCTGCAATGCTGATCGCTATAATCGTGACCGAATTGCTCAACGATGATTAGCTCCCCTTTTGCAGCTTACGTAAAAGAGCCAATCACGATCAAGCGACTCAGTCCGGACCACGATTCCGATCAGGCCCAATCACAATCAAAAGTGCCCGTGTAACATCGGTATCACAACAAACTGCAGCTAGTATGTGATGTAAGCGAACGGAACGAGTGGGTGATTAACGTCAAATCGGCACCATTTCGGCATAATTAACTGGCCGGTTAGGAAACCATACGCAAAACGCTGGTTCTGAAAGTGGGAGTCACTAGACGCACTCGTCTAGTTTACAACTGTAAGTGTACCTTAATGACACAGCAGGGCAACTTGGGGTCAACGTCGCTATCCAAACAACCATCGCAAAATTTACTGTACTACCAAACAAGTGAACTTACACTAGCGTTGTAATGGTGCACCAGGAAAGCTGCCACCGTACGATTGACAGATGGAAAGCCGCGCTCCGTGTCAAGCAAGAAAATGAAGCCGGTGCACTCGCACCCGTGCAGATGCCGCACTAGCCTTGATAAAACCGGCGCCACGCATATTTTGTGTTTGTGCGTTTTTTGCCTCGCTTACAATGTCAGCAGAGAAGGGCCGTCACCCCCTTGCGCATGCGACGTTATCGCTACTCCGCAAGACCTAAGCGGCAAGACAGGCACAGATTGCGGGCAGCGAAATCTGGCAGGACTTGAAAAAAATGTCATAACGATCGAACAACTTACCGAGAAACGTAAACACGTGAGACAGCCGGCGAAGCGTTGCGGCGGTCTACGAGGATAGCCACCCTAACGAGGAGGCGGAGCACTTGGCAGGCAGAGCAAAACATAGATAGATGGATAGAGAAATGGATGGATGCTATAGCGCCCCCTTTGAAGCAGGAGGAATGATGTAGTTAGGTGCCTAAATGTTTTCCTAAAGAATGCGGGGACTTTATTTGAACCGCCAAGCGAAATGTTGGCTTTCGGGTCAATTAGTTCCTGTTCTTACATTGTTTCTTGTTGAATGTGCGAAGCTTTGAGTGGTTTTTCAAAATTTCGTGGCACTTGCCATGTTGATCTCTTGCTTTCGTTCCCTGGATTTTTTTCTCATAGATTAACAATTTCAGAAGCGAGGGGGAAAAGAAGGTTATTCTAACGCTTCAGTATAACCGCCATTGGGGGGGGGGGGGGGAGGGGGGCTCTATTTTCTACACTGGCAGGGCCGTAGCTCGGTAGCTAGAAAGGCGGGATGGGGAGGGTGACAAAAAAATTTGTACCCGACCGCCCCCCCCCCCCCGTCCTCAAATTTTTTTCATGCTTTATTTTTTCGGGCGGTTCTAAAATGTTTACTTGCCTTCATAGTGACCACTAGTTGCCAAAGTTAGCCGGCGATGTATCCCCTTTAGGAGTCAGCGATGTATCCCTTTTATGCCAACTACAACTGTCTTCACTAACTGGATAAATAAACATAGCAAGCGACAAAACAAATAAACAAACGAGGAAAGCAGCGCCTAGCAGGTTTGTTGACACCTTGACGAGAATTCTCATTAGGCGCCCGTGGAGCGGAAAGCGGTGACGTACGTAGGGACTGACAACTCCAAATGTACCGAGCTCATTCATTTCTAAAGGTGGCTGCGTCCATCGCACTGTCTAGGCGCTGCTGTTCCCAGTCAGTGTCTTTTCTCTGAAGGGCGAGGAGTTCAATAATGTTTTCGGAACGGCTGCCTGAGTTGTCCGACAGTAGCTGTTGCATATATATATATATATATATATATATATATATATATATATATATATATATATATATATATATATATATATATATATATATATATATATATATATATATATATATATATATATTGAGGAGTCATGCCTTCTGCAGTGGCCAAACAAGGAGAAGAAAAAAAAGTACACGCTTCTCAAAAGAAAATTTTGGATGTCGTTTTGATGGGAGACCAATTTTCACTAAGATTAGTCACCGATCGAAACGTTCACATATCAATAATTGTGTGGAAGCGCATGCCTTTTTCATAAGCATAAACACAAACTGATTGGGTACGTATGTTTCTTTGCTGCTGTTCAAACACACGCAGAATTGAAACGCAGCTTACAAGTCTAGTTTAAAAGCTCCACTCATGCCGGGCACTGGAAACACACACGTGGTGTGAAAGTGACAACAAGCCCAAAGTCGGTGACGCCAACCGAAAGCACAGATTCACCTGGTGAGTCAAGGCATGCCGCAGTTCATCTGAGTCGAAAGCTATGCTTTTCGCGCCGTTCACGTTTCAGTGCATCGCTATAGTACTCCTTTACAATTGTATACGTGCGCGGTGCTTGCATCCACGCGTGAGTCATAATATATCCTATTACTGGCATGCAGCCGGTGAAGGAGTACGCCAATGATTTGGTGCCATACAAGCATACTGCACGCAAATCGCTGCTGTAAAGCGGAACATTTCATTTACCTTTACTAGACTCGTAGTTTTTCCTGCCGATTTCGATTATATCCACTGGCGGCCGAGCTCGATGTTTTTCGTTGTGGATGGAAATCTGTGCAATCGAAAAAACACCGCACCGGCACGGTTGCCGCATCGTGTTGGGATCTTGATTTGTGGGGTTTAACGTCCCAAAACCACCATACGGTTATGAGAGACGCCGTAGTGGAGGGCTCCGGAAATTTCGACCACCTGGGGTTCTTTAACGTGCACCCAAATCTGAGCACACGGGCCTACAACATTTCCGCCTCCATCGGAAATGCAGCCGCCGCAGCCGGGATTTGAACCCGCGACCTGCGGGTCAGCAGCCGAGTACCTTAGCCACTAGACCACCGCGGTGGGGCTCGTGTTGGGATCTTCACAGACAGTTCTGAGTAATATCTTACTCTTTCGCTGGTTGTTCTTTCATCCGAAGACGGCGCAGTAGTACCTAGAAGACTTCTTATAAGCTGGTGCAGCGTGAACAGACGCTTTTTTTTTTACATTTTAAAGTCCCAGAGCCACTGCTTGCCATGCTAGCGAGGCACGCCTTGGCAGTTCCAAAGAAATTATGGCGTCTCTGGGAGCGAGAGTATATCGCCAAAGGCGCCTGGGTGCGAGATAGGCGTGCTCTTGTCTAAACATAACACGCACTCGCTTCGAACGCCGTTGCACTGCCAGCGTTCCCTTTTTGCTTGTCTCACGCTTAAAATAAATGACGCAAGCAGCATCGATAATGTTCCTGGTAAAAAATAATAAAAAAGCGTTTTCCTTTTTCAGCAGAATCACCAACGGTGCCTGCGCTCCAGCGTACACGTTTTCATGTCACGCTGCTTACTTCGAATATCCGCACTCCCACGGGAGTGAACAGCAAGACAGTGCAAGTGCAGCAGGCTTAAAAAATGCGAGGTGACCCCAATTACTCGGCAGCGTGCCTCGCAATCATGTCGCGCTTTCAGGTTGCGTTGTTCACGGGCGATTACTTGAAAAGATGTGATTGTTTCGCTTCCACAATCGGTATCAGTACTGGACGTAGTAAAGTAACTGCTGGCAGCGGGTTTCTTTTTTTTTTTTGTGCTTGCCCGAAAATACCGCCGCAGCTGTTGCGTTAGATTTTCTTGTGTGTAAGTGCTGATATTTCATCACGTTATTTAGCTTCATGTTTTGAGGAAGAATGATTTCGGCGCTCTATTTCAGTAGAAAAACAAATTGAGGTATAGTTGCAGGTGGTGGTGGTGAAAACATTTAATAACCATTAAATGGTTACAGAGAGGTGATTGGGTTGGGGCCTTATTGGCCTCCTACCCTCACAGCACTAGGTGGAACCCCTATTCCGGGGCTCCATTGGCAAGCAACGCCGCCCGCGCACGTTGAACCAGAGCCTCTTGGGCCTTCAGGTCTTGACAGCCGAGCAGGGCCGCCTCCCAGTCCTCTCTCGTGGGATTGGGGTTGGGGGGGGATAGATGGATTAGACTGGCACGCCCAGACGATGTGAAAGGTGTCAGCCACCTCACCACAGAACTGGCACGTGCCATCGAAGGATGAATTGAAATGTTTTAGCACCGCCGGGCACAGTACAGTATTGGTAAACAGTTTTAAAAGGAGGCGCTCGTCAGCGCGATGCAGTCCCTTACAAGGGTCTGGATAGCGCCGGTGCTCCTCCTTGTAGTAATTGGTAATATCTTTGAATGAAAGGGCCGAATTGTCTGATTGCGAGTAGGCTTCCAAAGACAGGGAGATAGCCCGGGAAGAGAGTGCGCGGGCGGCCTGATCGGCCTGTTCGTTACCCCTGAGTCCTTGGTGACCGGGTGCCCAAACCAGATTTCGCGGAGTTGGATTAACGTATCGGCAGCTAGGTTCCAGTATGCGCTGAGCAAGCGGTGAAGCCCACCCTAGCTGATAGTTCCGACAGGCCCCTCGTGAGTCGGTGATGATATGTTTAGAAGAGGGATAGGTGAGAGCCAGAGCGATGGCAACCTCCTCCGCGTGTGTTGCGCTGTAGGCTTTGAAAGTGAGCCCGTTTACGGTGTTTGCGTTGTGTATGACTGCGGCAGTATACCACCCCCCATGGTGCGGGCCGGCAACGTCCACGTAGCACACGTGTTCCTCTTGACCAAAGTGTCGCTGCAACGCTTCCGCGCGCGCCTGGCGGCGACCACTGTGGTTTTCTTTGGACATGTTGCGGGGAAGGGGTCGGACCCGGAGGGCGCGTCTCCAAGGTTCTGGCACTCTCACCCTTTCCTCAATATAGTAATCGTGTTTGATGTGTATTCGGTCCAAGAGGCGGCGACCGGAATGGGTCTGTGCAAGGCGCGTGTATTGGTTAACGAGGTGGGCTTCTTGAAGTTCCCGGTAGGTATTCACCACGCCCAGGGCCAGAAGTCTCTGGTTGGACGTGGTGATAGGGAGGTCGAGAGCCCGCTTGATAACTTTACGGTGGATGACCTCGAGTTGATCATCCTCGTGTTTGCGTAGGTGCAAGTAGGGAGTCGAGTAGAGTATTCTACTCGTTACGAAAGCATGGGCAAGCCGCATTGCATCCCTGCTTCGTAATCCGCCCCGCTTGTTGGAGACCCGGCGGACCATACGGCCCACCTGGTCTCCCACCGTGCGAAGTTTGGCTATTGTGGTGTCGGCCTTGCGTTGGTGGTGTATGAAGAGGCCAAGGACGCGGATCTCCTTGGCCTCACGGATCGGTCCCGAGGGAAGACTGATATGGAGCTGAGTTGTGTCCTGAGGGGAGGGACGTACGTGCACAAATTCTGACTTAGCCGGGGCACACTGGAGTCCGCAGTAGGTTGCGTAGTCGTCGACTACAGTCGCTGCTGCTTGCAGGCATGACTCCATGTGACCCAGGTTACCTTGCGTGGCCCAGATCGTGATATCATCCGCGTAAAGAGCGTGATGTATCCCTGGTAAAGAAGCCAATTTGGGGGGAAGATGAAGCATGGCTATATTAAATAGGAGGGGAGAGAGGACCGCGCCTTGAGGAGTTCCCCTCGAGCCGATGACGTAAGGCCCATGTTCCTCATCTTGTATGCGTATGTAGGCTCGACGGTCTGTAAGAAA